TTTTAAGACTCTGATAAATGTAGGAGTTTAATAACTAATATTACATACGAATTTTTCTTGAATATTTATTTTACATTTATTATTATTTATTAACATATTATATAAATATCACCTTTCACTTAACTGAAAATCTTCCCACCAAAAAAACAAAAAAAAACATATACTTTTGGCAGACATTCATAAAGACTGACATTTACTGGCAATACTATTTTTCGCAGTGTACATGCAGTGGATAACCCTTTCAAAGTTTATTTGCGTATTTATTTTGTCAAAAAGAAAATGCCTTCAAAAATGAAGTCTGACAGCAGCACACATCAACAAACATGTCGTATAAATTTCGCAAAATTAAAATATTTCTGAAAACCAACAAAACACGACTTAAAATACCAGAAAAAAACGGGGCGTTGAAATTGACACCTCGGGACAAAGCAAAAAATACAAAACCCTTTCCTTTACGAAAAAAGACTACATAACACAGCTAAGTTTTAGTGTTTTTTTAATTTTTAATTTTTTTTAAATATTTTTTCGTTTTTTTTTTTTTATTATTTTTGGGAATTGTTCCGTCGCACTTCATACCACAAAAGCACATATTTTTTAATTCTTAACACTTGAAATGACATGTGTATAAGTGTAAATTTGTAGAATTTGCATGCGTTTACATATGAACCACCTAAGGTTGGACGAAGCTGAAGCTGAATCTGAATCTGAATCCGAATCTTCCGTAAAGTCTACAACAGACACACTTTGGCAATTCATTTAATTATTATACGAACTCGTATGAATGGATGCAGATACTTCACGAAAAAGTGAAGAGAAAGAAAAAGACTTCATAATAATAAGAATATGAATATAAAAAAAAATTCTTTTTTAGAAAGAAAGAAGTGTGTGTTTTGCAGTGCGACAGGAAATTTGAGCAATTTATATGAAAGGAAAAATGTACTCTTGACAGTCCCATACAGGCAGACCCATATGCACCGCACTGCACTCATCTCCATTCATATGAACTCGTACCAAAATGCGAATTTATTTTTTTCCACGCAGTCTGTCAATTTATTTTTTTTCTCCATTGTTTTTGTATTAATAAATTTTCATATTTTCTTGTTTTTATTTTTTTTTATTTTGTTTTATATTTTAACATTTTTAAAACGCTTCAATAAATTTTGAAACACATTTTAAGTAATTAATCTGAAAACCACGTGAATTTTGATATCTGAAGTAATGAAGTGGTTTTCATGTGCTCAACACTGTTAAGCAGGCAAACACTCAAACAAACAGACAGACATACATACACACAGCTATGCAAACAGACAGACATAATTCTACAATTAATATGCATATTCATATACAATATTAACATGAGGTATTTGAATTATACCTACTGTAAATGTGCATATCTCCTGGGACGTGTACCCGGAAAGTTAGTCAGTGAGACGTACATTGAGATAATTTTATGAAATCCTGCGGCACAGCCAAGTTGCCGCCATGCAGCCAACTCATGTTGCGTTTACATTCGTTAGGTTTCCATATCAGAGTAAATTTACAGATGTCAGTAGTCATATAAAAATACACAAGTATGCATAAGTAACCAATATGTTGCCGCCGTTGTCAACAGCTACAACTCTTTATCATCCTCATTGTTAAACTCGTCATCAACATAATTTTTATTATTTTAATTTGCTTGCATCAACTTCGACTTCAGTTACAGATGCAACCTCAACTTTAGACTCGGAGTTCGTCTGCACGAACTTCAACTCCTCAGCTGCAATACGCAATTCTATTAAGGAATTAACCGCCAACTCAACTCGGCTGTAGACTGTGACATTTGCAGTCACACGCTCTTTCGGAAAGCTATACTTTGATGGGTTTGACAGTGGTTTTCTGATGCAGAAACCTTAGAAATGCAAGGATCTGGAAATATGATCTGTCCTTTTTATGTTCATGGCAGTATTAACTTTTTGCGTTTAAATTGCGGTTACAAAAACTTTTGTCAAACTTTGTTATTATGGACGTAATTTAAATTATTTTCAGCCGAAATGAAAAATAAAATACAAACAAATGAATTTTGTGAGGAATTGAAAAGGAACTAGGATTTCAATATCCATGCCAACGACTTATAATAGTAATTCTATGGTAATCTAAAATATGTAACACTTAAAGAAAATAAAATGTTTTTTTGATAGTATTAATCTGCTTTAAGTATTAAAAAATTTAAAAAATATACAAATAAAATATACACTCTTATCAGTTGCGTTGTAGCTATTTAATATATGTGTAAAAAAATAAAAAAAAATAAATAATGATAGTAATAATAATAATATAAATAGTTCAATAAATAATATAAGTCAAAATATATTTATGCATGTATATATGTTAGATAGGTATTGTATTATATTTACAATAGTTATCGTTATATATATTATCCGTAATTTTTTCTTTCAGAGTAACAAAAAAATACTCGTAGCTCACGAAAAAAATATGTGAAGCAACAACAACGCTCTTCAAATCTTCAGACTTAGATTTTACTCGCAAACATTTTTAAGTCTTAAGTTTTAGTGCAACCAAATTCAAAAATCAGTCTATGTTAGTTCACTAAAAATATATTGAAAAATTTCAGTCATCCAATAAAATCATATGAGTATTTCATTTGCTAATAAATACATATAGTAAATAAATAAATGAATTAAAATATATGAGATAAGCAAACCATTGTCTTTCTAATATTCATTTTGTTTTCTTTTATTTAAATTAATTAGTTTTTAATTCTTACATTTTTTATATATCGTATTGTACATACCACAACAAAAAACATATGTCAAGAAGCGTTGAATATACTTTAAAAGTGATGCCAATTTATTTCAACCAGACTTAATGTTGTTTTTTTACAACTCTAAAAGAAAAATTTACGGCTATTACTAACACATCCGTTGATAAGTTCAATGAATGACACACTCACAATGCAGCTAGTGAAAACTCTACATATATTTTAAATAGTGACAACTTTCAGCTGATGCCTATCAAAATTTTATGACAGTTAAATCAATACTCATTTAGTGACAGATATTTTAGTCAGTACCATTTCGTACTTCACTGACCAGTTAACCCAAAGGAACGACATATCGATGATTCTAAGGAATGTTTGAAGCTGTTGCAGGATATAGTACTTTTTGAGTACTATAAAAAAAGTACTAAAAGTACTTTTTGAGTTAGTATGTAACAGTGAATAAAACTTGATTCCACTACTTTACTACAGAGTCAAATAGGCAGTCAACTAAAGGGGCAGTAGCCGGCGAACCTCGTCGAAAGCGGAAAAAAAGAAAAGTTGATGAGGTTATGT